TGGACCACTTTCGAGAGATTTTGAGCGACGACCGACCACGCCCACTTTAATCTCATCGGGGACATCACCCACATCCCCACCCCCCGTCGGGAACCTTTGACCCCTCATCGAGCAAATCCTGGTGCCACCCCTGTTTCATATTATAATTACTTGGGTCTAAACGTTACGGTAACTCAGAAGGTTCATGTATGTCGCAATCTTGCAAACTAAGCCAAGAAAGATCTGTTTAAAATACTGTACCGGTACCGTAAATACTGTAGTTACATTAATGGAAATAACAATATAGATTCAGACTTTAGGGGTTCAAAGTATATAACAAATACGAAGTAGTTCATACAAAATAATGTAAGAATGTTCTTGGTATATCCATGGAGGAAAGAAACAGATCTTACCTAACCAGTAACGACAGTTCTAGAGTAGAATTAGGGCGTTACCCATTACGGATAATATAAGTGTATACAAAAAATGGTATCCTACTGGTTAAAGATTATTGAAATAAACCCAAATCATCTGCCTTTTAAATGTGTTTTACTTCGTTAAAACGAGTAGATGAGTTCGAAAAAAAAACTAATTGGATGTCAAAGATTAGATTAATTCTTAATATGCATTGAATTGGTTATGTGTGGCCATAAACTTCTGTTCTTAAAAGCGTTTTAACAACAATGCAAAGATTTTTTACAGGAGTGGAGAGCACAGACTCATGCAAACGTTGATTTTATCTGAAAATTTAACACTTTATTCAAGCTGAATATTATATACAACTGGTAACCATATTTAGGCATAGAAGATGTATTACAATGTTAAGTACTTCATCGCATAGGCCTAAGTTAAATGTGAATATAAGAAGCAATGGTGAGTCATTGCAACGTCGTATGTTTGATAGTAAAAAACCAGAAGGCGAGTGCGGTACCACTTAGGCCTATTATAACACAAAGGGAATCTTTGTTGAGAAATATTACTGCAGAGATCCCACACGATTTATACGTTTTACGATTTGTTAACCAATGAACACGCCCAGGTCAAACTGGCTAAACTTATATGTTTCCTTTAAAAAAAGTCCTCAGTGGATGGTATTGTATGATAATATGATTATCATGGGCCGATGGATATCGAAGTTATATCAAGTTAGTTTTGCCGGCCTAAACTCGAATTTCATTTAATCAAAAAGTCAAATCTGATGCGAATAAAACGTCATAAATGCATTTATACTTTTGTCAGGGGTATAGCCAGGGCAAGATTTGAGGGGGTGGGGGTCAAGCCTAAATTGATTAGTTAGGGAGAACAAACGCAAACATTATGAGAGTAGACATTAAGGGATGTAATCGCTTATGGGAGGTGGTCGCACAGGGAGGTTAAACTGTATTATACCAGGGAAGAGTTATTATACACTCTTCCCTGATTATAATACTGTAATAAATTACAGTGTTTTCATTTGCTACCTCGATACGGGTAACCAGAGAGTTACCATGATTATAACAAAATGTTTATTTCAACTTCAATTATTACTGTACGCACAAAATTCGAGATTTCTAGATGACACAACGTGTGCGCCTTGTCAGTTACTCTGTAAATCATAATAAAAGGAGGCCCTAGCTTACATTTTCATATATTATATTTTTTTTTCACATTACCGATCATTCACTACTATAATCGAGATATTTTTTTTAATGTTTTTAATTTGAGGGGGTCAGGACTCCCTTGACCCACCCCCGCCCCTGGCTACGCCCCGGTTTTGTGTAGAATATTGTACTTCCAGCACTTACGTCTTTTTAACTTCAATGTTACAACATACTACAACATAAGAGAATTTTGGTGGATCCCCTTTAAACGAATTTATGTGTTTATATTTACCCAACAAAAGATCTAGAGTGTGCCCTCAATTACGATGACTTCGGTAGTTCTTTTTCGTGGTATGCTTCTCATGAAAGAATGTATTGTTGTACGAAATTCAATGAATTCATTGTTGTAACATAATTCAAAAAGTCTTTAGGCTTATTCGATATACAGTAAGACAATACAGTATACACCGTTGGCAAGAACGTTAATAAGCTTTTATCAGACATGACCTACATCACAATGGACTTTTTCCAAGTGTAAAAATTAAAACTACTGACCAATCAGAACAGCGCAAGGAGTACGCGCTTTCCCCATAATATACACACTATCAAACAGACCCACGAGTTTACGTCACTGATCTCTACTATAATATATTTAATAGTAGAGATCAGCGGTTTGCGTACGCTTACGCCATCGTTTTGTGTAGGAAAATTGCGACGACAATATCTAATGTGGGGCGAAAAAGTTCATTATTATAAATTGTTTACAAAAGTTAATTAAACCAACTTTCTCATTAGTCATAGCCACAAGATTTCGTCTTTCTAATATGAACCGGTAGCTTAAAATACTGTATGTGGGTATGTGTCCACAAACAATACGAGAATCCCTTGTTATCTCTATGAGAGAGCAGCTTAGCTCAGTGAGAGAGACAGCTTAGCACAGTCGGCTATCTGGTGGTAGCCACTGTGTGTGCGCTGAACCGTGGAGATCTCTAGGTCCCCGGTTCAATTCCCATCGCTGCCTCTCCTTGTGTTTCAGCTAGAGGGCTGAAATACAAGTTACAATAGCGCCCCGTCTTTCGGATTAGACGTTTAAGCCGTTGGTCCCGTGTGCATTTATGGCCCATGTGCACGTTAAAGAACACAGTACACTCTTCGGAAAAGAGTAGGGGATTGTCTCTCGGTGTACTGTCCAATCACCACCAGACCCCACTGGAAATAAGTCTTCTTCTAGACTTTCGTGGGCTATCCTTGGTGTTTACACCGAATAAATCCAATCCAATCCAATCCCCGCTCCATTATAATGAGGTTGTCGACCGAGTTATAAACAATCTCATATGGAACGCCAAAAAATTAATATTGTTCAGAGCTTGATTAATCGGGATTGGTAGATAAAATTAATTTTATTTATTTAGCACACAGCACAGAATAGGCATATTCAATCGATGGTTACATGAACTTTGTAACTAAAATTAAGAATCAGAATTTATCAGAACTTTTGTGGATTGCAGACCACCGTCTAATGTAGCGAGTAGGTCTACTTAAACGTAGCACTCTCGGATCAAGCATCGATTGATCCATTCCGCGAACATTGGCCCAAACTCGTAAACATCACGTTCGTCTGTGTAAGCAAAATGTCCGCATTCTGTAAATAACACGTCGCAATTGGTGATAATTAGGCTTAAGTGTGCCATGGGTTCGCATCGAATTCACCAAAGTGCATGAAAAGGTAGGATGCTTGGTATTGGTGTGAACGCAAGCCTTCTACTTGTAAAAGCCTGGGCTCAATTCCATAATACACGTGTTGCCGAGTTCCATGACATCAGTTCCCTTCAGTAGATGCCTCACTTCCTAATTGGAACTTTTGATTGACAGCTTAGGAAACAATCTAACCCCGCCTCCTGTCGACCATCAATATCAGAAGATAGGAGAAAAAACGTAATTACTGTATATACTATCTCAGCATTTGGTGTTTCAAGTTTGGGCCGGGAAAATACTGGCACCAAAACGTATAAGGTTATGCTATAGAAAATATAAATGTCTCTATATCTAATACATATTTCTATATTTATTATTGCTATATACTGTAATATAATTACAACAATACAATTGAGGCCGCCTATCAGAGAATGGTCATGGCCAACCATCTTGTGTTGGTATAGGGTGTATAAATCGGAGTACTTACGCATAGGCCTCCCAATTTCCTCAATAATGTAAGCCTCCCCTACCTAGACAATTGGGCATTTAAAAGCACTTAACATTACCACTTTTTGCTTGTTTCCAGAAAATACAGGATAGATACCATAGTAACAACTGCGGTAGGGTTCTAGCCACGGCAGCCGTCTCACTATGATTACGATGTAATCAGTTGACACTAAGCAGAAGACACACACATTAAACCTAAACGTTCGCAATTCGTTACTTTAATTTGATTAATCGGATAGTACATTCCACTATCTACCTTTAGCAAAGCCAAATATGTCCTATTTAACCACTATAGCCTATATTATAGCTCCTTGATTTATTTTTTAGCTTAGCAAACGCGTTAATTTCAACGGTTACGTGATCTGGTATCGCTAACGATCTAATATTATCGGAAAAGGGTAATTATTTAATAAGCCTGTGTTTTTACGGAGCTTCAGCTCCTTAATGTAACAGTGTAAAATGTATCAAGGAAGGGAAAATGATAATGTAGCACAGGCCTACCTTTAAGTGAGCGCGGCAGGTCAATTTGATACCGACCGAGCCGATAACTTTTGATGGCTAATGAAATTCACTAAGCCTATTTCTATACAAATAATTGTGAATTAGAACACTAGCGCGCATCATTCACGCCTACATCGTCATTCGCACGCCTTCTATAGGAAGAGGCCTAATAGATCTCTGATTAGATCAATTTTCTTTTGGTCGTCTTTTAGGCTAAAATTATGCTAAGTAGCGAACTTGACCAAGTATCTAGATGGAATGTTACTAATGTATTTATAGAACAAATAAAGAAAAAAGACTGTACTGCCAAAATGTCAAATTAATTGCAATAACTTTAAATAGTGCACTATAAAAACAGCGTGGAGGATTTAAACGGAAAGCTACACGCCAAATGTTTAGGTCTCTGACGAAATATTAGTATTAAATGTGCTTACGTATTAGCATCGTGATGTCAAATAACTAAGCACATTTAATTTTAATCACGTCAAGAGCATAAGCACATTGGTATGTCTAAACACGTTGAGCTTTTAAACGTGTCACAAAGACAAAATTGCGTGGAGCTTTGTGTCTAAATCCTCCACGCTGTTTTTACAGTGTAGCACATATTCGTACATCTTCCATCTTTTCGTTATGTTTCACCTATTGAGGAACGGGGATGCGGAACACTTTTGAGGCAGGCATATTGTGGTCAAAATTAAGGCAAATCAAATTGCAATTAGTACTAAAATATGAGCGTAATTAAAATGGGCAATACATTTTAATTGACCTTGTCTCGGAATTTTCCCCTCTCGCGTGCACACATCGTTACGTAACTGTACATAGGCCTAATGTCTCAGATTTACTCGGTTCAAAATAATATAGGTAAAGTGGGTAAATGTTTAAATGATCCGTTTATCTACATAAAAATATGCTCAATGATGCTTCGTAAAACGCAAATACGATGTGAAAGATAACAATTGGCTCATATTCATATCATTGATGAGGTAACAGTATTCGTTAACATTTTTAAAATATAGTCAAATTACCTAAGGGCTATGTATGTTTTCCTTGTAGGAGATAAGGTGTGTTTATATCGCAATGAAAATTAATTTCTACATTTTCACCACGTATTTACTAGGTTGTTGTGTGACAATAAACAAGTTAAGACAAAACGGCAACACAAAACGAAAATCCCAACACAAACAGTAATATTTTAAGGGAGAGTTTTTATAGTGAAAAAACATTTGAAATTATTCTCAATTAACCTGATCATGATTTTGCATAAATTACACATTATTATCAACAACGGACCTTGTTTCCTTCCAGTTTAACTTCGAAAATTGAAAATTTAAATTCTAAAATATATGTATCCCAATAGGCCTATGCACATTTTCGAAAGTCTGGTTTCAATAAAAATCGCTACACGTTGGCACCGACTCCTTCGGCGACGTTTATTGGTCAGATTTTTTCAGGAAGCGCTTCCGATTGCGTCGAGGACAGCTACGCAGTTGCAAGGATTGCAGTGAAAACGCTGTAGCGATTGTATGGAAACCGAGCTTCAACCTCGGACCCCCATCTGTTTGTTTGCAAAGTAACTTACTACTTTTATTACCTTCCAAATTTAAAACCAAGAGCTCCCACATCCCAAAAATAAATATGGATGTTGTGTTGCCTTTTAATAGTGCGAAATTAATCAGCTTCACATCCACTCACCACTTCAGTGATTTACCCTTCCCTCAATGTCTTCCATATCAGTCAATTAAATGCCAAAGCAAAGAATACAATTTATTCATGTGTCTGTTACTTAAACAAGATTTTTCACATGCTAATTTAGAATTGAAAGCTATTGTAATAACTTACATAAATATACAGGGATGCAATTAAAATATTGCATTGTACAGTTTGCTTTCCAATTCAAGACCACTTTAATTTGGAGACCACTATTTCAAAGTAACAACTAATATGCCTCAGGATGGAAACTGAACCAAGACCACTCTACATTTTCAGGTTCCAAATGTTGTCTCGAATTGGAGGGAAAACTGTATTTTTAGTTTTTTAGCAGTAAGGCAGAGGCATCATTAACTACAGCTTAAACTTTGATGCAGGTTTGTGAAACTTACCATCCAGAAAATTGCAGGTCTAGTGTACACCATTTGCTTGTGTGCACTTTAAATAACCTGTTGCGTATTTCAGAAGAGTAGGGGGTTTCCTTAATGATCTGGTTCATTTCAGCCCCTGCGTGAACATGAAGCTACACAGCACCTCCTTATGGCTGCTTAAGCAGCCAGGGACCATGCCCATACACAATTTAGTACAATGACCCGTGAGTTATAGGTTGTTCTACTTCCTTTACCTTCTACCCTCTATCTTTAAAAGACTCTATGCCACCAGCTGAAATGCTTTGAGTTTAAGAATGATCACAAATGATTGTGCCCTTGAGCAACACACGTTTATATTTTTTCCCCTCAGTACCTGGCAGGACGTACTGTAGATGGGTTGGAACACATAGGCAAAATTGGTGACCGCAAAGTAGAAGTGGTCATGTGACATTCTGTTGCAATCAATGTGACATTCTGCAGTGCAATCAATGCAAATGTATGGGAAGATGAAATGTTATGGTTGTAAAACAACGGCCAACAGTATTATGCAAAATAATGGCAAGGAAAGGCAGAAGGATTGTTCAATATATTGATACTCATTCTAGCATTACCTGTGCAATTTAAGCTATGGAATTCGTAAACCTATAGCTGGCCATTCGCATGAGTTTTTTGAAAACACTTGCAGTGCCTAATTTTACTGCAAATATCGTTTATAACTAACTCTTCTATCGTTTATAATTAACTCAACATTTAAAGACATTAGATGTTTTGGAGGATTAGCAAATGTACATTACAAGAAAAACACTCTGCAGAAGCAAAGATTCCAATACTGAACATCACTAGCTGTGTCTTTTTGTAATGTACCAAATAAAGGTCAGGAAACCCAGGTCAGGACTCAGATCAGGATTGCGTTTATTGGACTGGGCTGAATTACACGCTTGAAAAGGAATACTGCCCAGGAAGCGAAGGAGGTCACACACCATGCATCGTCGATTCTGTATCCAATGACCACGGTGCCTTGCACACAGAGAAGTTTCACATTTCAAGGAATATAAAATGTATAAAAATAAAAATACACAAGGGGTGAAGGGTGGGCTATCAACACTTGGGCCAATCATTGACTATTTTTTTTTCTAGACACTGTATGGCAATTACATCTCTGCTTGAGAGTTACTGAAGACAGACTCCACGATATCCTTCAAACCACTCTCCTGTAAAGCTCCCACCAGTACTTCCTTCGTTGCTGACGTTCCTTCCCTCTCCTGCCAGATGTTCAAGAGCTGTCGTGCCTGCTCTTTTGCGTCTGAGAGTTCCGTCTGCAAATTTGAGATATCATCGTCACTCAAGAACAGCTCGCCTGCTAGGGTCATCCAGTTGTCGCCAATTTTACTAATGACTGCTTCCAGTTGATCCTCAGTCAGAACATCACTTTTTTCTACAGAGGGTTAGAATTGTGGAAGATTATTGGTTGCAGCCCAGCCCTACAGTAATTCTAGAATTCCAACCATTAGACACCTGTATTTTGATTGGTAGAATGGTAAGCACAGACTAAAGCCTATCAAACTTTTTTTGACAAATAAAAATAAAAGGCTAAACCTAGATTTGAGAGATTTTTTTTACATTAATGCAATCATTAACATTGCAAAATAAATAATTATTATCTGATATAGCAACTACAAGATATATATATTAAGTTATAATAATTTAATTTTCTGGGGCAGATGCAGGATTTGGCGGTAGGGGTGCAATTCATATCAACTATACAACAATTATTTTTCTTAATACAACTTAGGGAGGGGGTTGCGATCGCACCGTCTGCACAGAATCGGCCCCAGATTTTAAAGATTATTAGGATAATCACCTTCCTCGCCTCCCTGCAGTAGATCATCTGTTTCAGCTAATCCCTCACCAGTCTTAATCTCCTCTGATGTTGATAGTGTTTGCTGCAAAAAAATATTATATTTTAACATTAAAAATAAAATGAATAAAAATATATATATTTAAATATATTTATATAAATAATTTTTTTCACTTACAGCTATTCAAACTCCGTTTTAACAATACAATTAGCTTATTATAACAAGAAATTAAATTCAGATCCATTTTAATTTTTCAGTTTTTATATTTATAGATTAATTTACTAGTAACTTGGTATTGTGTGATGAGGGCACCCTTCAATACATGCTTTCAGTTCTCTTCAGCAAATTAAAAATACTATCTGTCTTAATAAATAGAAATCTCTCAACCATTAAACTAAAACATTGAATTACAACATTTGATCAAACAGGTTATCAACTTTAAATGATGCAAAGAAAACAGCAAATCAGTTTCAAAGAAAAGCAAAGGTTCTACGCAAAGACTATTAGCTCAAAACAGACAGAATTTGTATGGACATTTAAATTTTTCATAGGACTTAATTGGCTAGTAATCAGTAAAATGTCTCGAAAGACTAAAAAAGCAGTCCTGTTTCAACAGCAAATCAGTTTCACAGAAAAGCAAAGGGTCTATCCAGACAGAATTTGTATTAAGGGCATTTAAATTTTGCATAGGACTCTTAAATTGGCTATTAATCATTGATATAAATAATTTTTTTCACTTGTGGAAATGAACATCAGTCATATTTAGATATATACAAAGCAAGATACATTCATTATATTAATATAAATTTATTATTCATTTTGAAGGACAGAGAAATGCACTAACAGTATTTACATAGGCCACATATGCCATTTTTGTTTTTTTTAAGTACATATTGGCATATCAGATACAGCTTTTAAGTCAGCAACTGAAGTAATTTGGCAGGATTACAAAGGCACATATGTACATATTTCACAATTCAGTTTTACATATAACATGAGGAAACATGTAATAAAGCAAGGATTTAAATTTGGGCCTCCTGCATTGGGGTTTAAATGGCAAATTTCAATCCACTTGGAAGCATTCTTGGATATAAAATTAGCAATTATTTTTTTTCCCATTCAATATTTAATCACATAGGCCAAGGATAGCCAACAGCAAAGTTAAGCACTGTCCTACTCATAGTTGCTAAGATAATACCTTTCACAACACAAACATACAGACAAGATACTGTACCTAGGTCTCATTATGGGGCTTATGAAGTGAAGTTGCTTTTGGTCGTGAGAAAAAATCCTGCAACATTGACAGGAATTGAACCCAGGACACTAGAATTTTGAAGGCAAAGATCTCTACCACCAAACTACAACTCTTCTCAATTAAATAAAATACACAAATCTATACACAATCAATGTAAGAACATACAAACATAAGCTTTAAAATTTAAAGAGACAAAAATTGCATAATTGTGTGTTTCAGTGAGTTATTGCTTTCAGTTGAGATTCAAATGGGAATCTCCTTTGTCAGTTGGCAGGCGTGTAAGTAATGCCATTCCTGTGGTCTTAAAAATGTGCCAATAAATGTCTGGCAGTGGGTTTGGAAATTAGTGCGGGGGAATGTATCTGTGGGTTATTAGAAACTGATTTTTGTAATTTGTTAGAGGGTGATGACTTGCATGGCTCTTTTGAATGAAAATTCAGGATTATACTTTGAATTTTGGGGTTTTAAAGATTAATACTTTGAAGGTAGTATATTAAATTCCTTTACGATCAGACTACCTCTACTTTTTCTATTTATTTTGTTACTTTGAAGTATTTGATTTGTCATTTCCTTTCATTGATATTAATACTGGTTTTGATTTGTGGTATATGCCTTAAAGTTTGATGTTATCAATATCATCGTCCCTCCCCTGAAACATTGAATTATAATATTATTAGGAAAGAACATCTTATAAAAAAAAGGATCAAGAAATATTACAATTCTTTGAAATGTAACTTATGAATGAATCATAATGAATATCTTTTGGATAATTTCCAAAAGGCATCAGAAAACAGACTCAATTATATTGAATTGCTTAGATATCAACCTAATGATAGTGGCTTTTATTATTAGGGTCATTCCGTGTCAAATCAACCACAAATTTCCCTCAACGTCTCAGATTTTTTCCAATTTTTTAAGGGGTTATTGGTACCCCTGAGAAACATCCAGAAATGGAATATTAATATGCGAGGTACCGCTAATTAGCTCAAAGTTTGTTAGCGCGTATCTCACTATAAACAGCATTGAGCAAAAATATTTCATTTCCAGCTGTTTTTCATAGGTACCAATCACTCCTGAAAATTTGGAAAACAATCTGAGACGTTGAGGGGACTTTTTAGTTGATTTGACACAGAATGACCCATCTATTATTAAATGTATTTATTTGTTTACTAACAGATCAAAAGAAAAGGATTTTTTGTACTGCATACAGTTTAATTTTTGAGTGAATGACTTCCTCATTCTCAAAACCTTCAACATTATGTGACAGTAATTACAGTTTAAAGCACTCCACTGAGCCTGTAATCTTTTTTTGACAGCAGTGATTATACAAATATTCTTTACATTTACCATATAACATTTCAGGAGCCTGATTGTCTACATAGTTGTGTATGTTACTCCTAGTTGTACTAGGCTTTCATCATCTGGTCATGTCAAAGGTGAGACTTTGCCATGCCTCTGGTTAAGTGCTGTGAAGATGTCACTCACTTGTTTTTTTCCTATTCTTTCACTGCCTTAGTTTGCAGAAAATTCATCAACTATTCAATAAGTGTGGTCAGTAGAGGGAAGTAATAAATATAGATTGACACAATGGCAGAGTGACAGACTGAAGCAATAGATTGGCACAAACATAATGAATGAAAGATACAGAAGAGAGGCGAAATGAAAGCATAAGCTGATTTCTATCATGAACACATGTGGCACGGTGGCAAAGCTGTGGGTTTCCAATCAAGTGATCAGCGTTTCAAATTTGAGGCTTTATCCACATTATCAAATTTTATTTGGTAAAAAACTATTGTATGCCCATATATAGTCATTATGTGCCTATATATGGTCATGATGTGATGTCATCATGACCATATTTAGCCATGTTACATGAAATTTGATAGTCTGGACAGGACTGACCAATTGCTTGTGTTCATTTGGGCATTAAATCAATTCTGTTGTTGAGTGTCAAATACATTTACTGTGATAACTTATTAGACTGGCAGTTCTTTGGCAAACTTAGGTTGGATCAACTTAACTTTCTTTAGTTACAGAGTACTACAGTGTTACATCACGATACCGCATGATACCCTTGTTGCAAAAAGAGTTCAACCGGGCGCCATTTTCTCCACTGACAAACCATTGATCCAAATTTCTAACGTAATTATTAAGATGTTGTATCTTACCTTCTCTTTGTAAATTTAAATTGATGATTAAATTTGTTTTCGATAACTAATATAATGCGAGTTTTGTGTTTTTAGTACATTTTGGTAAAATATTAGATTTTAAAATGCCTATTCCAGAAAGCCTATGAAGTCATTTAGGCGTAATCAACAGTAACCAACATCTGTTGACAGAGAGCGCCACTTGGCATCGTGACAACACGACTGTGGTACTCTATATTTATAATACTTACTGGCATTTCTTTGGCTATCTTAGTTAGGATCCACTCGAGGTACTGGGATAGTTTCTTGATGGGAGGTTCAGCTATCACTGGTTGGAAGAAATGTGGTGATTTTCCAGCAAGTAAACGGACAGCCTGCCAGGCAAAGTTACTTTGATTCACAACTCTACAGAGAAAAAAAAATTATGTAAAATATAATAATTTTATTAATGACAAGAAGATGAAGAACAACAATATTAACAATAACACAAACACCATAAAACAATGGCAACAATAATTATTATAACAATGACAATATATTATAATTTAATAATAACAATAATAAGAATCTTCTTCTTCAGACTTTGTTCCCACTTCTAAGTGGGTTAGCCAGTGCGGATTGCCGTCCTCCATATATTCCACATCTACCGCATCCTCATCTGTCAACCCTGCTGCTTTATGTCTTACTTGACACAGTCATTCCACCTCCGTTTTTAGAACAATAATAAAATTAGCTTATTATAACAAGAAAATAAAATCAGATCCATTTTAAATTTTTAGTTTTTATATTTATAGATTAATTTACTAGTAACTTAATATTGTCTAATGAGGACACCCTTCAATACATTTTTGTAGTTCTCTTCAGCAAACTACAAATACTATCTGTCTTAAAATAGAAACCCCTCAAACATTAAACTAAAACATTGAATTACAACATTGATTAAACTGGTTATCAACTTCAAATGACGCATGGATAACAGAAAATCAGTTTCACAGAAAAGCAAAGGGTCTACGCAAAGACTATTAGCTTAATACAGACAGAATTTGTAAGGACATTTAAATTTTGCATAGGACTCTTAAATTGGCTAGTAATCAGTAAAATGTCTCGAAAGACTAAAAAAAATTCCTGTTTCAACAGCAAATCAGTTTCACAGAAAAGCAAAGGATCTACGCAAAGACTATTAGCTTAATACAGACAGAATTTGTATGGACATTTAAATTTTGCAGAGGACTCTTAAATTGGCTAGTAATCAGTAGAATGTCTCAAAAGACTAAAAAACAGTCCTGTTTCAATGAGTGCGTCATTAGAAGTTGATAACATTTGTCATCTTTTTAGATATGTAATTCAATATTCGAATTGGAGGTTTTAGATTTTTTCCAGATTTTACTAGTTGAGTTGATCCAATGCCATATAGATGATCCATTAACTTGAGTATGGTTATGTGTCCTAACATGAATGATGTACTTGTAATTAATGTTTCTTGTTTACATTTTTTTGTATTGAAGTTCATTTATTACAGCACTGGCTATGTTTTACATAGGCAACACTTTTTTTTATACCTTGTTTCACAAACTTATTTTTTTAAGGCTCATCAGACAAAGGTGAAAAAAAAAAATAAAATTAAAATTTGTTTTCTTATTTAGCAAAATGATTCTGCCAAAAGAATCTAGGAGGGGGGAGGGGGAAAATAAAAATAAATTTTATTAACAAATTATTTTAAAACACTCTAGTAATGAGATTAATAAATGCATTAAATCTATGTAAATAAGGAAGAAATACTGAATATATATCTTAATTTTAGAGATTTCACAGGAGAGGAGGCTGTAATGAAAACAAATGTAACATTTTATTTTTTTTAATGAAATTTCCATTTTTTTTAAATCACCATATTTGGTAGTCGGAGGGTTTGATAAACAAGGTATAAAAAAAAGTCTACTATGCAGGCATGGTTTTGCCACTTGTTCTCTCCTGTACTAGAAACAAGATGTCCACACAAATTATGATTATCAAATGACATAAAATTGGGAATTTCTTCTCAGTGTTATAATAATGATATGTTGTTTTTTATACATGTATACTTTAAACAAATGAAATTTTATTCTTATAATTAACTGAAGTTCTTACTTATATTCATCCTCAATCATTGCTTCTGGATCTGCCTGCTCAATAGCTTCTTCAAAAAATTCTTCAAGGTTTGGTAGAAATATTCTGATAAAAATTTAAATTATAAAACTTATAATGAAAAAAAAAATTGTATAGTCCAACAAATAATAAATTATTTGTTTTCTGATGATATAATCAACTTATTAACACAATAGCATTCGATAACTGAAGTTTCAAATCAAATAATGGTACTTTTTTCTCTAAGCCTGCCTGCCCCCTTGGATTATCGCTAAGGTCCCAAAAACCAACAGCGTAAACGTATGTAAACACACATGTTTGTGGGACAAGCATGTATTCCTGACTTCGTTCTGATTGGTCAGTTACTAAGTTTGATCGACACAAGGTCCGCTGAGAGAAATAATCAAACCAAGGCATTGCACCTGGCTTCTGATCGGCATGCTTCCATGTTATCCGGACATAGATTCCAAAGCTTGGTGAGTTCAGGACTTCCCATGTCAAGTCTTTTGCTGGTGCCTTCCCCTAGCATTTCCTCACGGATACTTCTCTTTCTGGACCTGTCATTTTGGAAGACCAATTTAAAAATTTGATTAAAACCTTAATTAAATTCAAATGCGGTCAAATAGGTCAAGGAGTAGTTTCACAAATTGAAAGTTCAAAAAGGGTCGCAAACGGATAAACAATCACAATCTAGCTAAATGCCGTAACAGGCCAAAGGACATGGAAAGACCTGTCATTTTCAAATTTAATTCCAGAAATTAGTAATGTTAAAGATTTATACAGGGAAAAAAAAAAAGATTTCTGTCTGCCAGAATAAACAATGTTTGATAAGACTTTGATAATGTATTTCAGCTTTACTGTCCTAACATCTGTCAACATTAACAAGTTTTACGTGACAAACACCTGTACTTTGATCATATGTGGGTCTGATATGATACCACCATGCCAACTATAGATGGGTGCGATATATCATAATGCCCATATGTGGGTGTTATATATCACCATATCCATATATGGGTGTGATATATCATAATGCATATATATGGGTGTGATATGATATTATCATGCCCATATATGGGTTGTGATATATTGTAATACCCATATATGGTGAAAACACTGTGTAGACAGAACTTTTGATATACAATTGTTGAAAAAAATATTTTATATACCTTGATCTTACAGGAGCTGCTTCTTCACCATCCTTAGGTCTACAATAAAAGATAATAGCAATTATCATAACATGTATATCATCACCAATGATTTTTACCGACAACATTTCTTTGAATCCTACTTAATTACATCATTCAAATAAATTTAATATCAGCTACAATCTAGTCATTTACAGTAACATTTATAGCCAGTTCCAACAACGTAAATAGGACAATTAAATTGGTTGAAATTGAAAAACATTAAAAAAGTCTCATTAATTTATGTCAAGAAATAACTGAAAATATACTTTACAGTGGCAGATCCAAGAATTCCAAAAACAAGGGGCCCAAGGAAGGACTTTTACAGATAGGGAGTCAGTAGCACCACAGGTCCCACCATGGTTGGGGCTGAGGTAAGAACATTTATGATTATGGCACATTTAGATGGGCAGAAATGACACTCCCACACTTAAATTTGAATAAAAAATAATTTTTATCAATTTTTTCTATAATTTTTAAAAATTTATGGGGGGAGGGGAACAGGGTTCCCTTTGAATCTGCCACTGACCTTTAGAAATCAAAAATATGCTAAATCATAAGGTCAATGCTACTGTACCAAATACTTACTGAATATAGAAATATCAATATTAAAAGAGTATTATAATGTAACTAATACTGACCTTTCCAAAACAAAAGTCGGGCATCCTTTATTTTTCCAATCATTCCAATGCTCTTCACGAGTCAGAATGTGCTGCAAAAAATAAACAGAACAATTTTGTTTGTTATATAATTATTTTTATTATCATTGTAATCATTTATAAATTATATGAGTTAACATTAGCATATATTTCAGTTTATGTTGTAAAGGAAATATATTATTGGCTATAAGCATGTAATTTAAAGTTATTTTACTTTCATGGGTTACGATTGGTGCTCCCACTGGGAAATTGCTGATCAAAAAAATTACACTCAAGTAATTGAGAATAACTTAATTCCTATAGGTGGCACCCTCCAATTTCCTATCGTGCCCCATCAGACTACTAAGTTAATACTCAGTGGCAGGCCAGTGGGGTCTCTCCCCCCTCCACCCTTAAATTTTCCAAAACTATGGAGAAAATTATATTTAAATTTAAGTCTGCGAGTGCCATTTCCAGCAATCTAGAAGTGCCATAATCATAATAAATATTTATCAGCCCCAACCATGGTGGGGCTGAGGTTGTCTAAACCCTCCATCTGTGGAAGTCCTTCCCTCGGCCCCACTCTATTTCAAATTTTTGGATACACCACTGATACTTTTACATATACCACTTGCTTAGAAATGTATTTACTCATGGAAAAATGTTGATGAAAAAAAGATTTATACTTAGGAAACTGGGCTTGGAATGTTGGCAACAACAATTTATAAATGATTACAATGATAATAAAAATAATTATGGAAAAATGTTGATGAAAAAAAGATTTATACTTAGGAAACTGGGCTTGGAATGTTGGCAACTTTTGTAGAATTTAAAAATCCACTCATATAATCCCTTTTAATCCACTCCTATAATCCCTTTTAATCCACTCCTATAATTCCTTTTTATCATACTTGCTCTGCTATGAGAATGTTGTTAATGTGAACAATCCCATGTGATAAATAACTTTCAGCAAGTAAAGCAGTGTGACTGCACTTTGAAAAAAAAAAATACACCATAAATTTAAAAAAAAAACAACTCTAAAAGAACATTCACACCTATGTGGAGAGATTTATCCTCCTAACATGACATTGCAACAGATCCGTATTACAACAAACACAAAATTGAGAAATATTGTAATTGGGAAAAAAATTTATTGTCACGACTTATTAATATCTCAAGAGAAGGAAAAGTTAAGATGTTCACATTTGTCAAGTTAGAGGCCTTGCCAAAGTACTGTAAACCTTTAATTTTCACTCTCCTTTATTTGTTTTTCAAATTCAACCAATTTATTTCAACCTTGAAAATAATCAGTATTTTTTTAAAGCCCTTGAACATCAACTGTCCTCTATGGTTTAGTTGGAAAGGTAAGCCTCTTTATTATAAGAAAAAGTTGAAATAAAATGAAAAAGTAGATTAGTTCAAAGTTCAAAGTAATTTTATTGTCAATAATACAACTGGTAAAATTGAAATTTGATTTCCTCAGATACACAAGAGACACAAAGTACACAATCAAGAAAGAAATAAAAAAAGATATAAAAAATAGATCAGTAATGAGCAAAAACAAGACAAATTAAAAAAAATCAGTACAGAGATAAATTACATCAGATTAACAAAATTAAAAATAAAGCAGTTAAAATATCAACAGTTAGATTCTCTTCTTAATTTAATTTACAAAATTCCAGAGTATGACAGCAAAGTTAAAAATATAATAATTAATACAGTAATGATAATGATAATAATAATAATTAATACAGTAATGATAATACAGTAATAATTTAAAAAAAATTGCAGTTTAAATATCATTAGTTCAATTGATTTTTTAATTTTATAAAAATATACACAGAATATTCTAAAGTAAGTTAAAAAAAATGATTAGAAATATTGCAACTTAAATAAAGTGTATCATCAGTTCAATTTAATTTACAAAATATAATATGAAAGATAGTTTATAAAATTCCAGTTTAAGACATCCAAGTAGATTAATTTCTAGTAAATGCATTTTTATCATTAAAATGATTTGGCTATAAAAATCCTTGATAAAGTTTGAGAAAATAGGTGATTACTGCATACTGCTAGAGTTGTGGGTGACTACTACAGTACTAGCTAGCAGTCATAACGATAATTGACAGATTCACATTAGCATATCACTCATCCAGGCACTTAGCATGCCAATAGCAATCAATTAAAAAGTACAATATGTATTAAATCCAAGCCATCCATCAATCATATCAAAATTAAACCTTTCAAACTTGGTACATTTTTAAGACCTTTGCAAGATCATGTTAGAAGCAACGACATTCCATCTAATGTGCATGTGCAATAGCCTAATAATAAATAAAACATGTTTACCAGTTCTGTTTGCAGTAATTTCTAACATTTGGCAAAGTTAGACATTTATAAATAACGTCATAGAATTCAAATGAGAGCAAATTAAAAAAATATCTCACATCCCAAGACGATAGTGCAAGTTTATCAGTGCTTGTCTCCTGGCAAATTGCAGCGGAAAACCGTTCATTGCCATGAGAATAATTATGATTCAGATTTGAACCAAAGACCTTCTGAGATATGACACCAGCCCGATATTTTCTTCCATTGTATTTCCCATGTAAGTAAAATTAACTGCAAAAGTGAATCATGTCTGACCTACTGCACCTTTGGTATAAATAAAAAAGAACGGGATGTTCTAAGTATAGTCACCAAGGATATTATTCTGTAGGCTTACACTATTTATAGACTAAATAACCCTGATAAGTGATATGAACACAAAGCTAAATGATTTTATGGAAGTTGAAAAAAAAAAATCATTCTGGACGTAATGGATATCTGATAACATGTTTGTAGGAAATAGAGCTCTTAAACATTATCATCATCATCATTAACAGCAGTCATCATCACCACCACGACGAATGATGGTGATATGTTGATGATAAATGATCATTGTTGGTGGTAGTCTAAAAAATGGGAATGATAATGACAATGATGATTATGATATGATAATGATGAAGATCAGTGGTGGATGAACTTGAAATAGAGGGGGCCCTGGGACGGGCTTTCACAGACGGACACTAGGCCACCTCAGCCCCACCATGGTTAGAAATGGCACTCCCAGATTTAGATAGATAGATTTTGATAATTGTTTTTTTTTCTCCATTTTTAAAAAATTTTTACAAAAATTTGGGGGGCCCGAACTGGCTGCTTCCATCACCCCCCCCCCTTTCTTGAATCTGCCACAGACGATGATGGTGGTGATAATTATTATGGCCATGAAAAAGATGAACTATTAATTTAGGAGAGAATTTTTACATCTCCCTTAATAGAGAATGTCAAATATAGACATGAAGGGTATTACATTATAAAATAATAAATATGGTTGGTTTTATTCAACACAGACAAAAAAGGATCATGCATTCCCCCCCCCCCCCCATAAAATGTAAGCAATGTCTTCCTGTATTTGCAGGTTATGAGAGACGCAAAAGGGAAAATTTAGCGGTGCTCTCATCTTTAACAAATTTCCTCCCTTAAACATATTTATCAACAAGTCATTTTCCAGAAATAAACAGTATGACGAGTACAGGAGTGAAGTGAAGTAAACCAGAGGGGGGCAATGCACTTTGATTCAATGCCAACTACTGAGAATGCGTTCTCGCTTCCTCTCTAAAAGGACGTAGAAGTTTTTAAATATCACTTGTGTTTTATTATCGCCTAAGTGCAGCAATGGATATGGTAACTTGATACAAACAAATTTTACTATAAAAAAAAAGTATTAGTTTCCGAAGCGCAAATAATTATTTTAAATAAATATGATCTGATAATATACACATAAACATTTAGTGTAGTCTAAAAGGTCTATTTAAAATCAACATAATAAAAGTAGCATTAATAACAATAAAGCACTACCTGGGCCCTTTCACTCAACCAGATGGACTCGTGGGTCGTCCCAGAGCCTACTGGTATTCCAGCAGCTGGGCTCAATAGGGCCAGTGATGCTGTTGGCAGGCCAGGGATGCTGGTGTGTCACACACTACAAAATTCCATAGTTAATTATTATTACTATACTGTAGTTGCTTAGAATTTAAACTTTGCATGTGAACTATTTGTAAGTACTGTGTATTGATCTTTGGTGCTTAATGTACATAACACTTTATGTGATCTGTTACCATTTGTGTACTTAGTATCTCACCCCAGGTGTACTGAACTATGTATACATATCAGCTGTGTACTTATCTAAACTGTGTACTAGCTTTAGGATTAACATTAATAAATGGAAACAGAAATCAACTCACAATTAAAACTCTTCTGAGAGCGCATATAAATGAGACAAAAATTAGAAAACTAACCTATAAACTATCCAAAAACTAACCAGTAACAATTTACCAAAGTAATTAAAATAGGTGGACCAACTATCACTGCACCGTTCTCCAGCAATTTGAGACATGTGTCGAGCTGAAGGTTATTCACAAATGCTCTACAGATATTGTAACTAATCTATCTATACTAAGGGTATGTTCACACACACGGTGTAAGGCTGGCGTAGTGCGCATTCTGGACAGCAACACCAATGAGCATGTTAATTTTTAGAGAAAAAATAATGTGGAAAAAAAAATTGAGTATGGGATGCCAATCAAATTAGGTATGGCACGCACTAAGCGCAATAAAAAGTGAGTAACCCAGGCTACTACCCACCCAACCACCTACCTCTGCAGCCCTGCTAAACTCTTTTTCAGGAGGTATAATAAAACAAAACAAAAATTACTCAATCTGGTCTTACATAACATCTGACATTTTTGAAAACCAGGTGATGGTCTTCGGTTACTCATTGTATTTAACCAAATATCCCTGCAGAAAATGAGTGATCACTACATTTGAGAATGTTAATATTTACTCATGAGGTAGGTTTGCAGAGGCCTATTATACAAGAGTGATAGAAAATCTGTAAATCACATTGAAAACGTCAAAACCGCTGATATTTCAAGGCTTATGGTCCCTGGATGCAGAATGGGGATTCTTGGCAGCTTTGTTCCCCCAGCCATGGATTGCTTGCTATGCTTGTACATGCTCACAAAAAAAACTGTATACTGTACAGTATATAGATTACCCTTCCAGAACAAGAGAACCACAAATTGGCCTTCAGCAACTGGAACCTGAGCGAGGGCCCTTGGCAGCTCCCTGACCAACAGCGATGGATGCTGCTCATTTTGTTATGGACATTACTGTACACCAAATTTTGCTAAAATTTAGGGAACTTTGGCTCCTAGAACTGTGGTCCTTGAAATCCCCCAGCCTTGATGTACAATATCCATTTTTCTTCATGTATGTATGTGTCCACCTTTCTATGTATTCGTCCAACCACCTATATATATGTCTGTTCATTTACCTGTATCTACCTGTCCATCGATCTACATCCATTAATCCAAACATACCATGTTTTTTATAAATATAGTTTTCTTAGTACTTAATAATATTATCTATAACAACAATAAACATTATCATCAGCTTGAGCTTTCTAAATTCTTTCAATATGTGTCTGTTGCTAAGATATCTAGAACGTATTAAGGACAATTAATGTTCTGCATTCTGTAACAATCTATAAATCATAATACATAGTACAGTACACGACACACGATACAAGAATCAATTTTCCTATAAAATAAACACAGTGCAGTATAAAGAACTGTTGAGAAGAACGACAGTTGCTTGAAAAAGTTTAGTCAGGGGTGAGTTGAACTATTGATTAAGATCAAAATGGAAATGTAAAAAGTACACAAGTCTAAAATAATGTGCAAAAATCTTTGCCTTGCATTTTATTTATAAGGTCATCCTAATCGTCTTTAATGAGTACACATTAGCAAATTATAATTGTTGCATGAATATAGTATTTCTGTCAAGGTGAATTGACATTAATTATATAGATATGATGAATTATGACAAGACTAATGAAATAAATGTACAAAATAAAAATTACTTGTGTAGATTTCAAGATATTAAACACAACCAAAACAATATATATAATATAACAATATTAAAAATAATATAGTACTAACAAGAAACTTTATTGTCCGTAATGCACAAAATAAAGACAAAAAATTGAATTACTCAGCAAAGTCTCGAGATGTTAGAAAACAAACTTACATAAACACAACATTACACGTTTAATGCCAACAGTCTTAAAAATAAACATGAAACACTAAAGAAGAATAAAAACATGAAGGAACTTTTCCTTAATTAAAATCTTACAATTTTCTAAATCAAAATCATTCCAAACAAGGCTCTGGAAGATACTTTTGGGTATGGGTTACATTTGTTTAGTAATTATAATTTATGAGCCATAACTGACAACATTTAAAAACTTGATCCACTGTAATATTTTAATTAATTTCCACTGGAAAGTACCTTAACACCAGAATTAAATTAGTTAAATTTTCGTTTTTATTTTTTCTTTTAAATTCTGTTATTTGATTTATATTTCTGATTTGCATTTCTGTTATATAATGATTTAGAATTTCATATTAGTTTGGTATTACTTTTGGAAGATAGAAATTTTTATTTTTAAAATATTTAAAATAAAACCAAATTATTTATTATCAAAAGAAAAAACTGTTGTGTACATAGATTTGATTTTAAAGTGTAAACTTTGATCAGCCAATGCGAATAATTCCATTTTCTTGATCACTTCCTGTGGTTAATTAAGTTTAGGGTGTAAAGCTTACAAGGCCCTATGCCTGCTGAAAATGTCACAGCAGTGGTCACAATCATTAGATCAAGCAGTTTGACAGAAGGGTAGCTTCCCAATGGAGACTGACAAGAGAGGCATAGAGGGAATTGAGTTTCTGACAGTACAATCGAACCGACGTATCAGAAGATTTTCGACAGGCTTCGGCGGAAGGGCTTCCTGACATAGCCAAATTTCCCCCCACCCTTGACACTTTCTAGGCTGTCCAACTTGTCAGAGGGAAAAGTGCAACTGAAGAAGGTTGTGAACTTTCAAAACCAAATCGTGTTAATCTGCTGTTTTTCGAAAAACATCCAACAAATTAAAGAAAACAAGAAATCAGATTACATCATGGGAGAGAGAGAAAAAAATCATATTCAGGATTAAATTGTAAATAATTACTTAATAATAGAAAAATTCTCTTTAATAACTATAAATAAAAATAATAATAATGACAATAATAATAATGTTAAACATTTTTTTTTCTTTCCTTCTCATTCAACATCAAGCACACTCGCCACTTAGATGGAATGTTTTTTACCAAGTCTATTTATTGAGGTCAAGGGAGTGAAATTGTTTTTAGTTGTGAGAAAAAATGTGTACGAATTGAGCCAATGACCATGGGATAAGGCAAGCATCTCAACCACTAAGCTATTCAACTCCACACATTTACTAAGAAGAATAATAATATTAACAACAATCAAATAAATTATAATGATAAAAACATTGATAATCATTAATAATAGCAAATAAAAGTAATGTTAATAACAACAACAGCGCCAACAGCAGCAGCAACAACAACAATAACGTCTTAATGCATCTGGTCAAGGTATGAGTATGCAGTCAATGGGGACACTTATAATCGTTACAACACACATTGGGATAAACAATCTTTGGTTGAAATATAGTTGAAAGGTATACTTCTATTTCCAAGTATCGAAATGCACGCCATCATGTCGGGATTCAATATTTCAACATTAATTATGTCATCATCAGGAATTATTCCTGATATGACATAATTAATGTTGATACAGTATATTGAATCCTGAAATGATGGCATGCATTTCTATACTTGGTGTGTAGTTCTATTGTCCAATAATTTTTTTTATATGCATTTAGGAACAGAATTTCACGGGTTGCAGACGATTTCTGATTGCGAGAAATGTCACCTAAACAATAAACTGTGAAGTCATATTGTAAGTTAATGTTGAAGGGCCCTGCAGCCAGCTACTGTACATCGATATAATTTTCAGAAACTCCCATGATACTTGACATGATACAAAGTCCTATTTTACAGATATATCTTGCGCCCCAGTATTTAAAAGAAACAAACAAGAACGCAATTCAAAAACATAACATGAGGCTTTTTAACATGTTCACTGCTCATCGAAGAATTTCTCCACATATATTAATCGTTCATTAAAACGTAATATGGGAAAGATCCAATACTCGGTTGTTGATTCTGCACTCTAATAACAAAGTTTCCAAACATATTGAAGAGGCTATTATTCTGTCAATTTATTTTGAGTGGCTTATTTTCTACAGTTTAATTTCTAGTTGAACAATTAGAAGATACAGTTAAATGTACTCACAGTGACAATGGTCAAGCTAAACTGGATTCTGCCCTCAAAACCTCAATCCTAAATTTCAACATTATTTTGAAATTTTTCAAAAGAGGAAAAACTTAACTAGAAGTTGAAGTTCATATGTTTATAAGTAGGGAGTTCATGATTCCAAACTTGGTTATAAAATTAATTTGTAAAGATTAAAGATTAATATATATCTGCAGCTTTTATAGTACAGGTGGCCAGTAAAACTCATACACCTGGCAAAGGAAAGATAGACCAGGTGTGTCTCACCTGTCCTTACAATACTTACAATACTGGAGAAACTGTAACCAATGACAATCTTATAATCTAACTTTTTGGAAAGTACAAGAGGGGGTCAGGAAACAAAGTTAGATCAACAACTAAACAGCAACAAAGTCAGAAAACTATTGATCCAAATTGATCATAATTGATTTAAAAAGTGCAACGTGAAACCAACATGAAGAAACTTTTAACGGAAAGTGCAAGAGAGGGGTCACCAAAGAAAGGTAGAGCATTGACTAACAGCAGGAAAAGTTCACAACTTGAGTAATTCCGTGACTCAGTCCCTGTCAGTTTTAAGGGGAGCAGAGTACAATTCTCCAGACTGTTTGCTTTGCACTGACAAATCCAGCGGGAATGCAAACTAGAGTAGGGAGAAAATTAAGCAAAAGTGCACATTGAATAGTCTTCTCTGATACTATCATCCAGTCCCAGATAGCGACA